TCAGTCTGAAGGTAAGTTAAAATGCTTAGAACTCAGCAGTGTTGTCAAAATTGAAAGTCGAATCCAAGTACTCCACTATTCTAGTGTTCAATTACTTCCTTTTCTGAAAGAAAGGGTTACACAACGGTTAAGTCCTGAGCTAAAAGAGCTTGAAGTTCACCTATCTGTCCTTTCGAAGCAGAAATCAGCATTTATGAAATCAATGAAATTTATTGATAGTCATCAGGGATTCACTTCTGGTGGGGTAATCGAGGTCGTGGAACTCGAATCTGATGTTAGTTCTGCTCGTATTCGCCAATCTTCGACTTCTACTTTACTCTTCCCAAAGGTGTGTTTTTCTGTATTTTTTTCTGAGGTCTTCTGTAGACAGGGCGTGGGTTAAATGCTGTTTCTGTATGTGTTGTGTGCGGAGATAGTAGTTTAGGAGCTTACACAAAAAGTTTTAGGATATCTTACATTATAATACTTGTAATTGAAGAAATGAGAAGAAGCGTTAGAGCTCAATATAATTATTGGATTGTTAGCTACGATACATCAGGTCTTTCGATAGGATTTCAGCAGAAATATGTTCCAATAGGGTATGTGTGTCACTATAATTCCATCTTATTATCTACAGAGGTATCGACTATACAAACCATCATCATCATTTCCCTTACGCTTAACACCGGTTGAGGCCAACCATTCTATGAGATCAGATTTTTCCGTATCTGTCGATCTTGCGCTAGGTGAAACAGCTCTTTTCCACTGCTTTGACACCACTCAGTTATGTCGTCCAGCCGCTCTCTGCGTAATCGCCTTGTCAAGACTTTCCATCCATTTTTCCAAAGCGTAGATGTTCTATCAATCTACTATCGTCCATTCTGCAGATGAGGCCAAAAAAACTGCAGCTTCCTCTTTTTGATGATGTCGATTATCGTCTCCTCTCTTGATATCCTTCTTCGGATATCTTCGTTTCGTATCGTGTCCTGCCAGTTTATTCTTAGAACCCATCGGTAACATTTTATCTCTAGTACCAATAATCTTTCCTGCCTGCTTCTTTCAAAGTCCACGTGTCTGAAGCGTGCGATAGGACACTGGCGACACAGGTATTTAGGACTTGTAGTTTGTTACCTATCCTCATTTTTTTGCTATTCCAAGTACATTTCAATGGGGCTAGTGCACCTGTCGCCTTTTCTATTTGCCGTTTGATTTCCTCTGAGCAGTTATTATTCCAAGTGATTAAGTTGCCGAGGTATTCGAATTTTCCTAGATTCTCTATGATGCCGCCTGCTACTTGTGTCTTATTTTCGACACTCCTGTCTTCAGATACCATAGTTTTGATTTTATGTATAACTATATGCTGTTTTTGCTAGCTCAACTTAGTGTTGAAGTGAGCTAAGATCTTCATTAATGAAAGCAATGCCATCGGCGAACCTTAGTTTGCTTATAAGTATTCCACTGACATTATTTCCGCACGTGTTCTGCTTCACCTGATCCATTACTCTTTCAAGATATACGATGAAGAGGAGTAGTGACAGAGGATCGCCTTGTCTTGTTCCTACGTCCGTTTGAAACCACCCGCCATAATTATTACCAATTCGAACAGCTGACTGTGACTTTTCACAGATATTTTGTGGCGGTGTGATTATTTTCGTATCAGCACCATATGATTTTAGCGTAGGCCAAATTATTTTATGTTTGTTCGTATCGAATGCTTTTTGAAAATCAGTAAAACAGTTATAGATTTTCTTTCCCTGTCTTTTGGCTTTCTTGGCCAGCAGTCTAAGCATCAGAATCTGGTGTGCTGTGCTTCTCTCTCCCCTAAGTCCTGCCTGTTCTTCTGCAAAAATATGGGTCTAAGTAGACTTTTAATCTATTCAGTAGTACAATGAGGAGTACTTTTCCTGTATGACTGATAAGTGAGACCGTTTGATAATTAGAACAGTTGCTAAGATCTCCTTTTTTGGTAAAGGTACCAAAATAGATTTGCCCCATTCTTCTAGAATTGTATCTTCACGCCATGCTTTGTTATAGAGCTGATATATTTCACGTGCTATTGACTCTCCTCTAGCTTGTAGCATCTCTGCTGGAATTCCGTGTGATCCTGGACTCTTATTTCTTTTTAACGCACGTGTTGCTGTTTGGACTTCAGAATACACGATATCGTTGGTACGCTCAACTATCAGAGGGGCGATGCCTTCAAGCTCTTCAACTACCTCGTCCCCACCACCAGGACCTTTATACAGACTGCTACAATACTGTGTCAATCTATCTTTAATATCATCTTTTGTCTGTAACAATGTTATCGATGTTTAGACCTTTTTCAGCTTGTTCGCAGTGATTTTCTATTCAGCATTTTTTCTCCTCTCTTGCAGATCTTTTCACTTTCCGACATAAGTCTTTATATTGCTGTGTATATTCTATGCAAATATTTTTCATCAGCGAGTTGCAACGTTTCTTAGTTTTCCTTTTTGCCGACATTGCTGTCTTTACTGCATTTTTAATGGTCTGTCCTATCTTGTTTGAATGCTCTTCGAAACTACATGTTGGTCCCATACCCTTTATGCTGTTCAATAACGTAGCATGGTATGATTGTCTGATATTCTCATCTTTCAACTGATTTACATCTTCCATCTACTTTGTATGAGAATGAGATCAGTTATATTCTTATGAATACCATGTGGTGGTGCTCAGGCCCATTTTCTATTAGGTTTCTGTTGAGATCGCATATTGCATATGCAGAGATCGCGTACTGTGGCACATTCTAGGAGGCGTTCTTCGCGTTCATTTCTGTCGCCATATCTGTATTTATCCATAACTGGTTTCCACTCTACATTTTCCGTACCAATCTCCTATCCTATAATTGCAGTAATATTCGCATGGGTTTTTGCAATCAGATCATTTCAATAAAATTCCATTAGAATTTCGTTGCTCTTATATATGCGATTCCTTCGGAAACAGTGAGAATGGCTTTCAACAATTATTGAACAAGTTTCTTTCAGGCACGAGTGTTCCAACTGCAAATGGTGACTCGGTTGTTACCTTAGTAATCCATGAAAAGGGCCAATCTACATGGCTATGCACGAATGAACGACACGACTTAATTATAGAACAACGACGGAAAAACCAGATTGAATTGGCAGAGTTTTAAAATCGTAGTGGTCGGATTGCACTTAAAGAAAAGCACAAAAAATCAGAAAAAGGTGTCCAAGGTTTTTGCGTGTTACGAGCGTTTTCAAAATTTGATTTTGGATATTCGTTTCTTGTCGACAGTTTGCACAATATTTATCTGGGGCTCTTTGTACGCCAGCAGATAATCTTTTCCTTATGTTTCCGAACTTTGTTTCTTTTTAGAAACGACTTCTGATGCGTTGACTCAGTCCACAGGACAAAGACAAAAATTGGTTAGTATGCAATTGAACACAAGAGCTTCCAGATCTACTAAGTCGGTTTCGCTTCCCGTCTTCAAAAGTTTACCAAATATAAGGGTAGTGAAATTCGGCTTGTTTTATTGTTTGGTTATTCAATCTTTGAAAATGTTTTGAAACCTTAGTATTATTCCCATTTATTGCTATTTGTTCTTGCCGTTCACTATGTAAGCTAGAAACTTTCTTGTTGATTAAGACTCAAAAAATAATTCAATTACTCGATCAAACAGGCAGAATCGCGCTGTTTGACTCATGACATGGTTTTTATTGTTGACAAATTGTGTCGCTCATTTCTGTATGATTTCCCAAAACTGTACACCAAACGGCATACTGTGCAGGTAACGCTTTGATTTACTTCAGAAACTTTTGAGACTTACAAATAAGAAAATTTTCAATATAAGTGTGTGTGACTACCATGCTAGGCCGTTCATTCCATCCTGCATATGTCGGATACATTGTATAATTTCGGCACTTTACAAATACACTCCACCTTCGATTTTGAAAACCAGCTTGGTGACTGTCAATAGAGGCCCTTTGGCTTCTCGAAGTCGTATGTATCCTGCTTGTTTCTCAGGATTGTTGACTCGCTCTTGCAAGAGTACCATGTGCCTCGCAATTGAAATAATGAACAATCTGATGTATTTGCGAGACGCATGCTTTGAACTTGAAAGATTCGATATGTATATGGAAATATGAAAGTTGACCGCATCCTGGTTGCACATGAGTAGCTCAAATTCTGTTATACACAAAGACAATGTCCGCGTTTTACACCCAATTCGAATTGTTGATCACTTATCTGACACTATTTCTTCTGGTGACATTCAATACCATTCAACCGCATTCATAGACAAGGTACGATTGACTACAAGTCGTTATGCTCAAGGTAAAATCTGCAATGATTCAACCATCATCTTCAAAGCCGGCCAAAAAGAACGCTTCGGTAGAATACATCGAATCTTCACAATAAATAACAAAACGCCTATGTTTTACATTAATGTCCTCTCAAACAGTATCAACTTTCAATGTAAAGAAAAAAGTGATGCTTATTCGTATTCATATACACAAACGGGAAGCGTTGGTGATAACACGAATCGAGTGTTTATTGGTTCTAGTGATCTAGTTGAAAAATGCGTTTTTTTCGAACGACATCCCAATGTTTGCACATTTTATAGATTTCCGAACTTGCAAGGTTCCTCTTGAAGAAAATAAATCTTTCGCCATATTGAGCAACCTTCTACTATTTTAAATAATCCATTGAAGTCAATTGTTCAATTGGTGAAATACCGCATAGCCATGTATTATTTAAAGATTTGATGTGTTATAGCGTTTTCCGGAAAATTGGGAAATTTTAACTTAAGCCTATAATACCCAATATGAAAGTGCACAACAGCCGAAATGGGCTCAATGCTCATTATGGACTTTCCATAATGAGGCATACTGGGGCATAATAGGCGTAAACGGCATCGATACCCTCACTGAGAGAGATCCCTTCAGTAGACAGAATCACGTCTTTTCAGTGGCTAATACTCCCATTATGCCCTATATGAGAATTAAAGCTGCTCAGACTGTTCAGTTTGTCCGATCAACAGATTCAATCTCCGGGAAATCAGTTGGTACCCGGAACATATAGAATTTCCCGGTAAACCCTATAAGAAATCATATGCATTTAAAATAATTCCTTGAAATGTATTGAAATTCAGTAGATTCACTGTGATATAAGGCACTACTTTCAAAAATGCATTGTTACTTATTGAAGAAACCGACAATAATGCATTAAAATGTATTAATGCACTTAACTTCTAAAATAATGAACGATAATGTGTCTTTTTCCCATTATTTGTCGATTATCGGCTGCATGGGAAACATCATAGTGACATTTGTTTCGACAATACCCCAACTGACTCTTCTATAAGTTTTACCGAAGTTACTCGTTTCAATATTTTAAATACACACCAAAGTAAAAAGTTTTTAGACACCACTTACTACCATCCGAAATGATTATTGTTATCAGTTTAGCTTTTGTCTTAGGCCTTTGTTTATACCTAAAATATTACTATTTTGCTCTATTTCTTGAAAACCTTCCATGTATGCGACAACAATTTCTTTTTGGAAACATTCTTCAATTCCAAAATGATAGCCTTGTAACTGTGTTCGCTAAATGTCGAAAACACTTTGGTGAAACATTTGCTCTCTACTATGGTCCATCACGATTTGTTCATATTAGTAAACTTGAACATGTAGCAGAAATTTTTTCACGAATTAAAATATATGAACGTGATATAATGACTCGAAGCAACACTAATGCCCTGCTACCTCGATGCCTGCGTACATTAATCGGAACCGAATGGCAAACACGAAAACGAATAGTATCAGCAAGTTTTCGTTCATCACACATGTTAGTCCATGCTCCAAATATTGTTGCTACAGCCGACTTACTTATCGATAATTTGCGCTCCGAAAACAGTACTCCAAATGGAACTGTTCATATGTCAGCTGCATTTGATCGAATCATAATTGAAGGTCTGCTACAAATCTTTATTGGTTATTCGGCAAGTTATGAAACTACAGTAATGGAATTTAGCAATGCTTTTCTTCAACTTGAACAAGCAAATTCATGTATGTTCAGCGCATTTCTTCTTCCGATTTGGTTTAAGAAAGCTTATATAAAGATGAATAAAGAATATTGCCGAGCTGAAGCAATTCTTTATACTCATATGGAGTGCTTTATTGGCAACTCTAATAGAGACGAAAAAACTCTATTGAATTCATTGATTGAAGCTCATGAACAAAATCTCGTAACAAAACCTGAAATTTTTAGTGAAGTTTTCGACATATTATCAACAGCATATTCATTTGTGCGCTCAAATATTCGATGGTTTCTCCATTACCTTTCGGATAATGAACATGTACAAACGAAAATTAAGCAAGAACTAGCCGATTTATCAATTAGCTATCATACGATATGGACTATGAAATTAATCAATAAATTGATTTATACAGAATGTGTTTGTAAAGAAATATTAAGACATTCGCCAGGAATTGCACCATACATTGCACGAACAGCTATTACAGATGGTATAATCGAAGATGAGCCAAGTCAGATACGGATTTGCAAAGGTGATACGATAGTTATTGGCGCATACAATATTCATCATGACTCACAACATTGGAAATTAGACCCTTATCGCTTTCTCCCAGAACGCTTTCTTAATGAAGATAGAGATCATGAACGAAATGCTTTCATTCCGTTTGGTGGTGGTGATCGTGCTTGTATAGCACGACAAATCTCAATGGTAATACTGAAAATTATTTTGGTACGCTTCATGTTATCAATAAGTATACATCGACACGAAGATAGAGATAGTGCCGTGATGGCAAGCAATCTAGCTCTTGGTCAAAAAGAAGCAGTTGATTTGGGTGGTATATATATTAGGTAGAGTGGCTACAGAGTAATTTTTCATTAATATTTTTCCGTATTCTAAATAACACCAGATGTTATTTTTTAATTATGTTTACATAATCAGCTATGTAGATTTATTCACTAACATTATTATATAAAAGTGAATTCATAGAGATCCATCTATTTTTTGGAAAGGTTTTGTTTTTCGATTATTTTTCTTCTTAAACATCCGATCTTTGTGAGAAAATACTTTCGATAAAAAATTAGGCCCTGTCTGTGAAAGACTCTGAGCTTATTAGCGTTTTTAGATACACCGACAACATTTGTTCAAGTACAGCAAAATGGCAAAGAAGCGTCTAGAACTTCTTCGAAAGCTCTTTTTTCGAAATTGTTTAGTATTCATGAATATTAAACAAGTCTAGAAACATGTTTTCTGATACTAATTAGACTGGTCTTATTGAAAGTTGTACGTGATGAACCATTTTCTATATATATATAATAACACGTCTTATTTCGCGAACGTGAATTAGATTCAATTAATTCGAAGATATCTTTCTTATTCCTGTTGATCGAGACGTCAAATTATATGTAACAGTTGAATGGCTAATTGGCTTGAATTATTGCGTACTACGGATATATTGTACTGTCCCTAAACTAGGAGGAACATAAGAAAAGAGAGTCAAAATCTTTTTACTCTACATTCGAAGTATTTCGCTACTAGTTTTTAAGTCATTTTTCTTAACTTCTTCTACTTCATTGGATTCGAGGTAGATGATGTAAATACCAAGAATATCTTTGTTAGATATCCTTGCCGCTTGAAGTTGCTGTAGTTGTCAGAATTCATAAAACTCTTTTGCATTTTGTATGAAAACGTTTTTGAAGAGTGTATCATGTCTAGCGGTTTATATCAGCACTGCGCCTATTTCATCGCCAACACTATTATCACGAATGGTGACCGTAAACGTCCAACAAGCATTCAAACAAAAATCGCTCTTGTGGTGAATCAGATTCGAGATACTAACGTTGTTTTTACAATGGACACATCTCCCATCATTGAACGAAAGAAGTGAGTTAGCATAACGCATAAAATGGATTATTCATCAACAAAACAATAGAATGATATAAACAATTTGCATCACCTGGAACGTCAGCAGGAACAAAATGATGTGTATCAGTAGCCGCCTTTTCAAGATATTCATTAGCGGCCACATCTAATACATGCTTTGGTTCATGGAAAACATAGATCGGATAAAACTGAAATGGTTTCATAATTCAATCCGCCTAGTATGCTTTAATTTTTTTAATTTGAATCATCATTCAAATGATCTCACCTGTTTAATCCGTTGTACAAAAGAAATAATTTAATTGCAGTTCATGACACTTTTAGAACATGCTTCTAAACGCTACAGTAAACGTTCAAAATTTAAACCACGACTCATGTGACTATGTTGTGAGCAGTAATAATTTGCGCGAAACATAGTGCAAAAAACATTTTTTATTCCTATTTGGATATATGTATATGATAATCTATAAAATATAAGATTTTTGATTAAAGTCAGTCGTTTCAATGTTTCNAATTGAAGATCTTGTATTGTATCCATTGTGAACGAGGAAGATTGAGATGATGATAGCCAATTTTTTAATAGCTCTAGTGCATAGCGAAATTGATATTCGTCGTGAGTAGCCTTCCAGATGAGCTTTGCTGAATGTATCTAAAGAGTGATTTGAAGAAGAGATGTCAGCAAGATTAAAGTTCGGTACAAACTTCTGTTTTTCTCGGTTTTAAGTTGTAAAATGCTTGGAATAATTGATGATCGTGTGCGTTAGATTTTAAAAGGGTTCTACTGCCTTCAAGTTCCATACGTAATTGACTTTGATCTTGATAAATCAGATGTCGAATGATTACCATGGTTTGATCGAGAAACTGATTGAGCGTACGCGGTATTTGTGCTATACACATATTAATCTCGTTATTGATCTTTAAAAGATCGGTTTGATATTTTTTTCTGACGTTGTTGAATTAATAATTTAGAGCGGCCATATTTTTCGACACTCAACAAGTCCAAATGCCTTCCGTCATTCCAAGTTGATAATAATGGTTCCATTGCTCATTTTGAAGTTGTAAATAATGTCGAATATTGATCAATTGAGTCAACTGACGGATAAATGACAGATTGTCCTCTACTCTTAATAATTTTTTTACTTTTTTTGCCTCCGACTGAGAAACTGTAGTTGATCCGATTGCTGCGAGCAAAAATGTCTTTTTAAAATTCTTATCTGCAAGTATTGAATAATCAGGCAAGAAGATCGTGGGATCGATGTATTTTTCTTTGTGTAACGGAAAATATCGCTTCTTTATGAAAAGTAGTTTTGTCTCTTCGGTGAAATCCATAATATTGCTTCGGCGAAATTGTTCAGCTGTGTGGCCTAATATTGCTTTTCGCCGACGAGATTTCTTTTTGAAGTGTTGTTGTTTTCGAATACATTGACCATACACTGACTTCTTCGCGATAAATTCGACGTTAGACATGACAACTAGAATATATGGTTTTTGAGATAATCTGAAATGCATCAAAAGAAAATAAACAAAATGTTTATACAGGGCTGAAGAATAGATGAAAATAGAGGCACTACATAAAACAAAAAAAGAACAGTGATTGATAAAAGAAAGAAACAAATAGTGCTTTCTGTTCTGTAAGTCAGATATGTATTGCGCTCATTAGATAGGAACTGACCGATTATGTTCGGATGCTAAATAGGCAAAAGGCAGTCGATCATGTATGATAATCGTGCGGATAACAACATATTCAGTCATCTTGTGGAGGGATCTTTCAATAACGATGCATGTGGACGTTTACGCGATAATTCAAAATCTAAATCAGGATTATTTTGATGNTTGTGAAGATGAGTCAAAATTTTATTTTTATGGATGAAAAAGCTACAAAAGCTAGTCGTTATTTAGTAGTTCTTTAGTTTCTCCACTTTTTTTTACCACGTGGAGTTTTATTTACCAAATATTTTATCCTATCTACAAGCAAATAGGTGATGAGAAGCAAAAGCGACCATCCATCCGTGCCGTTTTCTATGGCTGGGCGTTGACAACAAGGATATACATATCTATACGTATATATCGATATTTGTTTCTCTTTATGTATTCGAAAGACAATCGCCAAAGGTATACAATACGAAGGTTACATTCGAAATAACTGACACAAGCGAAAACGAAGTAACGCGATAGGCATAACAATTGCGTCCTTCGCGAAGAAAACACTAAATAACAACATCGTTTCATACGGTTTCAACGAAACCAGTTGATCACTCGAATTCGACCATTGCTCGACGCCACTAGAACGACTGTGCACATGGAACTTATGCTATTTTTCAACTAAACTCTTCAAGAGTCAAATGATATCAACAGCGCTCGCATATTTCGCAAACGTTAAATACCAATAATGACGCTAACTCTGCTTTGGAAAGAGCACCAACTTCAGAGACGACGACTGCATCGCAATATTTTATCCAACTGCACATGCAAGTGATCCCACGCTGCTGCAGCTGCCACTACTCTTCTCATACGAAAGAGATATAGTGCTCTAGTTTTACGAATACAATCTTCATTCAACATCCTCAGTACATCCATTCAAGACCAGTCACTTACATAAAAGCTATTTATTTGCAGGTATGTGAAATCTTTCCCCCGTTGTTCCGCGTACAATTTCGGGAAACCGAAGTTGGGGTAATGCTACGACTTAGCACGACTTGAACCGGAACAACAACTCCTTCTACTTCTCTCTCTCTCGTTGTTTCGCATACAATTTCGGGTAGCCGAAGTTGGGGTAATGCTATGACTTAGCACGACTTGAACCGGAACAACAACTTTTTCTTCTTCTCTCTTTTCCCTGCCTTCCCGTCTCTCTCAGTCCCTGTTTCGTCGCTTTACCGAAATATATTGGAAAGATGAGCCAATGGAGAAATATCTCGACCTTGTGTGAACACATTTGACATGCAGGTGGGCGACGAATGAAGATACAATCTTTTCCAACAGCGGCACAAGTCCTATTATGGTGTGTCATACAAACCACTGCAGAGTCCTTCATTACCGATTCGCGTTTTTGGGCGAAGTCATCATATATTCAGTGTTGCATCTGCCACCCTGATTATAATGTTGAAAACAATGCGCAGAACATTGAATATCGCGAATCATAACATTTAGAAATCTCATAAACATGTACACGCTATGAGGGTGTTGATTATTTTCTTCAGTGTAACCACCGTGCAAGCGACGAAAGCGAGAGACGAAGACAGACATGAACACATCGAGCATATTTTCAGTTTTATGAATGTGTGAGATCTTGAGAAATAAAGAAAAGCAGAAGTGTGGGTGTGGACGTGAGGACAAGAAAATTTGACGAATGGGCAACTAGATGCGCCAGTCTGAAGGTAAGTTAAAATGCTTAGAACCCAGCAGTATTGTCAAAATTGGAAGTTAAATCCAAGTACTACACTATTCTAGTGTTCAACTACTTCCTTTTCTGAAAGAAAGCACTGAAAGAAATAAGGTGTTCGACCAAACCCCTCAAAAAGGTTTCATAGGTGCACAAAAGTCTCCAAATGTGTCGGCATGTTGAAAAAACTACTTTTCAAAATCTGCAAAACCAAAAAAAGATTGACCGGCGGGCACACGCACCGAACCATCGTCACGGAACCTTTTTAAGTTTCGTACAATTCCAATAAAGGTTCGTCAGATAATATGGAACCTCAAGGTTTCGCACTATGGTTTTGTACGAATCTACGAAGGTTTCGTAGATTTTGGAAAAGCAGTTTTTTCAACACGTCGACATATTTGGAAGTTTTGAGCACCTACGAAACCCTTTTGAGGGGTTTGGCCGAATATCTTAATTTTTTCAGTGAGGGTTACACAACGGTTAAGTCCTGTGCTAAAAGAGCTTGAAGTGAACCTCTCTGTCCTTTCCAAGCAGAAATCAGCATTTATGAAATCAATGAAATTTATTGATAGTCATCAGGGATTCACTTCTGGTGGGATAATCGAAGCAGTGGAGCTCGAATCTGATGTAAGTTTTTCTCGTATTCATCAACCTTCGGCGTCTACTTCATTCTTTCCAAAAGATGTGTTTTTCTGTATGTTTTTTGAGGTCTTCTGTAGATGGGGCGTGGGCTAAATGCTGTTCCTGTATGTGTTGTGTGCGAAGATAGTAGTTTAGGGGCTTACACAAAAAGATTTAGTGCATCTTACATTACAATACTTGTAATTGAAGAAATGAGAAGAAGCGGTAGAGTTCAATATGATTATTGGATTGTTAGCTGCGATACATCAGGTCTTTCGATAGGATTTCAGCAGAAATGTGTTGCAATAGGGTATGTGTGTCACTATAATTCCATCTTATTATCTACAGAGGTATCGACTATACAAATCATCATCGTCATTATCATGTCCCTTACGCTTAACACCCGTTGGGACCAACCATTCTATGAGATCAGATTTTTCCATATCTGTCGATCTTGCGCAAGGTGAAACAGCTCTTTTCCACTGCTTTGACACCACTCAGCTATGTCGTCCAGCCGCTCTCTGCATGATCGCCCCGTCGAGACTTTCCATCCATTTTTCCAAAGCGAAGATGTTTTATCAATCTACTATCGTCCATTCTGCAGATGAGACCAAACAGCTGGAGCTTCCTCTTTTTGATGATGTCGATTATCGTCTCCTCTCTTGATATCCTTCTTCGGATATCTTCGTTTCGTATCGTTTCGTATCGTGCCCTGCCAGTTTATTCTTAGAATCCATCGGTAACATTTTATCTCTAGTACCAATAATCTTTCCTGCCTGCTTCTTTCAAAGTCCACGTGTCTGAAGCGTGTAGTAGAACGCTGGCGACACAGGTACTTTGGACTTGTAGTTTGTTATCTATTCTCAGTTTTTTGCTATTCCAAGTATATTTCAATGGGTCTAGTGCACCTGTCGCTTTTTCTATTCGCCGTTTGATTTCCTTTGAGCAGTTATTATTCCAAGTGATTAAGTTGCCGAGGTATTCGAATTTTCCTAGATTCTCTATGATGCTACCTGCTACTTGTATCTTATTTTCGACACTCCTGTCTTCAGATACCATAGTTTTGATTTTATGCATAATTATATGCTGTTTTTGCTAGTTCAACTTAGTGTTGAAGTGAGCTAAGATCATCATCAATGAAACCAGTGCCATCGGCGAACCTTAGTTTGCTTATAAGTATTCCACTGACATTATTTCCGCACGTGTTCTGCCTGACCTGATCCATCACTCTTTCAAGATATATTATGAAGAGGAGTGGTGAAAGAGGATTGCCTTATCTTGTTCGTACGTCTGTCTGAAGCCACTCGCCATAAGCATTACCAATTCGAACAGTTGACTGTGACTTTTCAGAGATATTTTGTGACGGTGTGGTTATTTTCGTATCAACATCATATGATTTTACCGTGGGCCAAATTATTTTATTTTTAGTCGTATCGAAAGCTTTTTCAAAAATCAGTAAAACAGCTATAGATTTTCTTTCCCTGTCTTTTTGCTTTCTCGGCCAGCAGTCTAAGCATTATAATCTGGTGTACTGTGCTTCTCTCTCTCTCCCTCTCCTAAATCCTGCCTGTTCTTCTGCAAAAATATGGGTCTAAGTAGACTTTTAATCTATTCAGTAGTACAATTAGGAGTACTTTTCCTGTATGACTGATAAGTGAGACCGTTCGATAATTAGAACAATTATTGAGATCTCCTTTTGTGGTAGAGGCACCAAAATAGATTTGCCCTATTCCTCTGGAATTGTATCTTCACGCCATGCTTTGTTACAGAGCTGATGTATTTCACGTGCTCGTGACTCTCCTCTAGCTTGTAGCATCTCTGCTGGAATTCCGTGTGATCCTGGACTCTTATTTCTTTTTAACACACGTGTTGCTGTTTGGACTTCAGAATACAGGATATTGTTGGTACGCTCAACTATCAGAGGGGCGATGCCTTCGAGCTCTTCAACCACCTCGTTTCCACCATCGGGACCTTTATACAGACTGCTACAATACTGTGTCCATCTATCTTTAATATCATCTTTTGTCTGTAACCATCTTACCAATGTTTAGACCTTTTTCAGCTTGTTCGCATTGATTTTCTATTCAGCATTTTTTCTCCTCTCTTGCAGATTTTTTCACTTTCAGACATAAGTCTTTACATTGCTGTGTATATCTTATGCAAATATTTTTCATCAGTGAGTTGCAGCGTTTCTTAGTTTTCCCTTTTGCCGACATTGCTGTCTTTACTGCATTTTTAATGGTCTGTCTTATCGTGTTCGAATGCTCTTCTAAACTACATGTTGGTCCCATACCCTTTATGCTGTTCAATAATGTAGTATGGTATGATTGTTTGATATTCTCATCTTTCAACTGATTTACATCTTCCATCTACTCTGGATGAGAATGAGATCAGTTATATTCTTATGAATACCATGTGGTGGTGCTCAGATCCATTTTCTATTAGGTTTCTGTTGAGGTCGCATATTGCATATGCAGAGATCGTGTACTGTGGCACATTCTGGGAGGCGTTCTCCACGTTCATTTCTGTCGCCATATCTGTATTTACCCATAACTGATTTGCACTCTACATTTTCCGTACCAATCTCCTATCCTATAATTGCAGTAATATTCGCATGGGTTTTTGCAATCAGATCATTTCAATAAAATTCCATTACAATTTCGTTGCTGTTATATATGCGATTCCTTTGGAAACCGTGAGAGTGGTTTTCAACAATTATTGAACAAGTTTCTTTCAGGTACGAGTGTTCCAACTGCAAATGATGGCTCGGTTGTTACCTTCGTAGTCCGTGAAAAGGACGAATCTGCATGGCTATGCACAAATGAACGGCATGACTTACTTCTAAAACAACGAATGAAAAACCGGATTGAATTGGCAGAGTTTTAAAATCGTCGTGGTCGTATTACACTTAAAGAAAAGCACAAAAAATCAGAAAAAGATGTCCAAGATTTTTGCGTGTTGCGAGTGCTTTCAAAATTTGATTTTTGGATATTCGTTTCTTGTCGACAGTTTGTACAATATTTATCTGGGGCTCTTTGTACGTCAGCAAATAATCTTTTCCCTATATTTCTGAACTTTGTTTCTTTTCAGAAACGACTTCTGATGCGTTGGCTCAGTCCACAGGACAAAGACAAAAATTGGTCAGTATGCAGTCGAACACAAGAGCTACCAGATCTACTAAGTCGGTTTCGCTTCCCGTCTACAACGATACGTCATCCACGTCCTCTTCAAAAGTTTACCAAATATAAAGGTAGTGAAATTCGGCTTGTTTTACTGTTTGGTTATTCGATCTTTGAAAATGTTTTGAAACCTGCACTGAAAAAAATAAGGTATTCTACCAAACCCATCAAAAAGATTTCGTAGGTGTCAAAAGCTCGCAAATGTGTCGACATGCTGAAAAAAATGGGTTTCAAAAATCTACGAAACCAAAAAAGGATCGGTCGGCGAGCACACGCTCCGAACCCTCACTACGGAACCTTTTTAAGTTTCGCCGCAAAATACAAAAGCTTAATGGATTCGTACAAAACCATAGTGCGAAACTTTAAGGTTCCGTACTTTCTGCCGAACCTTTATTAGGGCCGTGCGAAACTTAAAAAGGTTTCGAGACGATGGTTCGGAGCGCGTACCCGCCGACGGATCCTTTTTGGTTTCGCAGATTTTTGAAAACCATTTTTTTCAACATCTCGACACATTTGGAAACTTTGAGTATCTACGAAACTTTTTTGATGGGTTTGGTAGAATACCTTATTTTTTTTCAGTGTGAGTATTATTCCCATTTATTGCTATTTGTTCTTGCCGTTCACTATGTAAGCTAGCAACTTTCTTGTTGATTAGGACTGAAAAAATAATTTAATTACTCGATCAAGCCGGCAGAATCGCTCTGCTTGACTCATGACATGGTTTTCATTGTTGACAAATTGTGTCGCTCATTTCTATATGATTTCCCAAAACTGTACACCAAACGGCATAATGTGCAGGTAACGCTTTGATTTACTTCAGAAACTTTTGAGACTTACAAATAAGAAAATTTTCAACATAAGTGTGTGTGAGTACCAGGGGTCCTAATGGGGTGGGATGGGATGAAAAAAACGTACCATGGGAGAGTCAGGGATCTCCCATCCCATCCCATGGGATCCCATGGGATTCGTATCTTTATATTCAAATTCTTGCAACAGTCAAAGTTATTTCCAGATTCGGAGCTAATGAATGTAAGGCAAATCGTTTTGTTTCATACTATTCATCACCATTTATTTAAAAAAGAACATAGAAATGCAAGTTCAGCATATAACTTCACAACTTTTTTACATACTAATATAACACTATTTTGTAAAAGAAATTGAAAATATCAACAAAATCGTGATTATAATGATAAACAAGTAATCAAATCAAGAAAAACAAAAATATGACAATTGAAAAATACTTAAAAAAAACTATTGTTTTAATCTTTCCAATGCTCGAATACATAAAATATTGTCGATATGTTCTGGATCTAAAGATGTTCTCCTCTCGTTTAAGATAAAACCAGCGCTACTGAATTGTCGCTCAACAGCACTTGATGTTGCTGATATGCAATGTATTTTTCTTGCTACTCTTGCCAAAATAGGATAATGAACTCGATTGTCTCTCCAAAAATCAAGAGGATTTTGGGACAAATTTCCTTTATCAATATACATATCCAAATATTTATTCAATTCATCAGATTTTAATGGTTTAGTGCCAGTAACATCGAAATCAGAAACTTCATCATTCTCCTCCATCTCGAATTCATTCTCACTGATGTCTTCATATTCTTCAAGTATTGATTTTCCAATCTTTTGTTTCTTTGTTGTTGGTTCAACTATAGATATATCATTGAATTGATCGTTTCGTATTATTTTGCTCATTTCTTCACGAATATAATCACACGCCTGATTACGTTCTTCATTAGAACAACCTCGTAGTTGTCGATACTTCGGATGTAACAGTGTTGCAGCTATATGTCGCACATCCAATTGAAACATAAGATCCAGAAGGTGAAGGATTCTTTCACGAAGAATTTTTAATCCTAAAATATGCGACATATATGAGCATTATAAAAGATCCCCTTTTCAAAGATTGCTTGCAACAATCCATTATTTACCTTCACTTTCAACTAAATCTTCATCAAAATCATTTGTGTTGCTTTCATCGAGATCATTTTTCTCAAAATCAGATGATGCAATTAAATTCTTAAATGAAGATAATGATTTTCGAAGATTTAATGTACATATAAGCACCATATACAACGAAGGACTATTTCCTGTTTGAATTAATTTCAATGTTTTTTTGAAAGGTTTCAGTAATTTAATCAATCCATCAACAATTTTCTCGTCAATGACAGCTATTTTTGACTGTTGCTTGCGAACTGTTAAAACACGTTTTGTTTGTTTGTAAGAACGTAATATACTTTCAAGTAATTCGATCAAAGATAACCATCGTACTACTGTGGCTTGTTGAAGTGAAACACCACCAGCCTCTTGAATATCTTTATTCAATCCAGCCTAAATAAGTAAGAGATTATTTGTACATAAAATTTCGTGATTCCTTTTAGTAATGGTCGTATCTCATATTGATTACGCTTCTATGCATGAATATTTTAGTTTTCGTTAGCAAAAAGAAAATAGAAAGAAGTGAAATATAAATATCGTCAGATTTACCTTTTTAACGTATTTCACTAGCTTCTTACAATTGACTATTGTTTGTATAATCGTTTTTGCAGCTGGATCTAAATCACCCAGTTGTAGTTTCATATGATCGACGCCATTTTCTTGAGCACCAGCAACTTTAGATTTGGTTTTCTTTTTTCTTGTTACAACTGGTAAACTGTATTCAATTTCATCTTCACTTGATGATGTTGATGAATCATCTTCATTATTAGTTTTTGATGAAGTTGCTGATGCTTCTGATGCCGATGTTTCTTTTTGTTTTTGTTTCTGTGTTGATTGGAAAAATGAACGTTTTAATAAATTATTCAATCGATGAGCATAACAATATATAGGATGATATGGTTTAAGAGCTTTAACGAGATTGGGTCCACGATCAGAAACAAAATTTAGTTTGGATAAATCATTGAGATCCAGGAGTTCAAGTGCACTTTGGATTGCCTAAATAAACATCGAGAAAAATAGACGAGAATATATTCATATGTGAGAACACAAGCTATGAACGAAAATGACCTAATTCATTGATTATTCTATTTCAATTTATACGTATATATACAATAATGAACTTTTGACCATCCGTTTCTCTTGGAAAAGCATTTAATGTTGGTTTTTCATATTAAACTTATTACGATTCGCTAGACAGATGGAAATAGTATGTCGTATTCTTACCGTAAGAAGATTGTCACCTGTATGATCAACTTCATAATAAGGACGACAGCATAAATCAAACGACACATATTTGTAATCAGCAGTAACCAATGAACATGATAAACCCAAATACGATAATTGTTTATGGCGATCTGACCACATATCAGGACTTACACACACAGCTTCATTTTCGAAAGGTTCCTTTAACATCTGTTTCAATTCTTGTCGACTTTCATGGGCTAAGGTATACACATAATTCGACATTGTGTCGGCACCCTGCACGATATTTTGTACATCAAAATTACCGTATTTAGATCCTGAAGAAAAACGAGTATTATATTGTAAATATAGTTCTGTAATCTTACCAAAATTAACGAGTTCTTGAAAAACAGTTCTTAAACCTTTATCTTCGCTAATAGCGAATGGTCTCAAATCTTCACAAATCCATTTAGCCATCAAAGATTTGAAATAATTTAGTTCTGAATCATTCAACTTGATTCGCTTCGGATTTTTCGACATAAGGTTGAGATTTGTTTGAATTTTAACGGGTGCTGTTGATTCAGAATTGGTAAAAGATTCAGATACACATGGATGTGAATTCAATTGACGAGTACCAGTTGTAGATGTATAACGGTATGTTTTCAAACAATTTCGACATGAAACAAAACCTGGAATACGTTCATAATTATCACCTTCATTTCTCTTTGCTGGAAATCCAAAGAATTTCCAGCAATTCGATTTGCATTTGGAAATATTATTACCAATAATTTGATAATTAGATTTATCATTTTGTAAACGAAACTTTATTTTCTCCACTGTGTAATTATCGGTTGATTGCGACGATGAAGATATGAGAGGACTAGTGATTGAAGATGACATTGAGCAAACGACAAAACAAATAATGTTTTACTATGATTTTTGCATAACACAATATCCAGATTTCCTTTTTATTTCGTTTCTATTGTACATGTATACACTTGTTTGTGTAATCATGTTTGGAATATATTTTATATACCAATAAAGAAAAAGAATAAAAAAGGTGAATTCATCATTTACTAAGTGCGACATCTTTACATTTTATTATTTTCCATAAATAAACATTTTCTAAAGACCATGGGACTTGGAATTCACCCCATCCCATCTCATGGGATGAAATAGGATGGGACGGGATGGGATGGGATGGGATTGTCTCATCCCATTAGGACCCCTGATACTAACGTTGTTTTTACAATGGGCACATCTCCCGTCACTGAACGACAGAAGTGAGTTAGCACAACGCATAAAATGAATTATTCATCAACGAAACAATAGAATGATATAAACAATTTGCATCACCAGGAACGTCAGCAGGAACAAAATGGTGCGTATCAGCAGTCGCCTTTTCAAGATATTCCTTAGCGGCCACATTTAAAACATGCTTTGGCTCATGGAAAACATAGATCGGATAAAACTGAAATGGTTTCATAATTCAATTCGCCTGGTATGCTTTGATTTTTTTAAATTGAATCATCATGCAAATGATCTCACCTGTTTAATCCGTTGTACAAAAGAAATAATTTAATCGCAGTTCATGACACTTTTAGAACATGCTTCTAAACGCTACAGTAAACGTTTAAAATTTAAACCACGACTCATTTGACTATGTTGTGAGCAGTAATAATTTGCGCAAAACATAGTGCAAAAAACATTTTTCATTCCTATTTGGTATATATATATATATATATGATAATCTACAAAATATATGATTTGATTGAAATCAGTTGTTTCAATATTTCTGTTCAAAACTATTATAGGAAATTAAAGCATCCATGTTGTTTTCGGAGAAATTTGATATACTATTAAATCAATAAATACGATTAAAAAAGGCAGTATCATCTATCCTTTAGATTTCCACTTGAGCATTTGAGTTTTCCGCATATTTTTCTCACTTTTGATATAATATGAAGACAGAGATTTATCAACATAATATTCTATCTCATAATGAAAATCATAAAAGTTAGCATGAACTAATTCAAATTTTTGTTTGTGTTTTTCCATATTCGAGAGAGTCTTTTCTTTTTCAATCTTGGGAAAAAGACCATGTCGACTATATATATATGAGCAATAAAATTCAAAAGTTTGGAAAAAACGATCATTCCAATTTTGAAAACAGTAAACACGCCAGAATCTTGTGAAATTCCTGTGTTTAAATTATAAGTGATAGATTTATCGTTTCAAATATAAATCATTATTCATAAAGTATCTACGTGATTCATCATGGTATAGTCAAATGAAAATATGAGTCGATTCAAGAAGTTACGGTATGATCATTAGTCATGTGTTACCTTATCTATCTATTTATTTACGAGGTGTCTCAGTTACACTGTTCATTTTTCAAATAACTCGTACCGTTTTTTATGTTAATATCGAGATGCAAAAAACTAAATCAAATAGAAAATACTAGATTTAATCATTCTCTCGCAGAAAGGTTTTTATCATAGAAATTATCCAATACAGATATATTTACGTTCGTTACTTATGTTTATATTAAAACAGATGATTGATCTATAATAAATGAAAATGAATGGCAAAACATCTTGAAAAATTCAATTTGAATATGATCGAAACCTCAAGATATATAGAAATGTAATCTTGGAAAAGAAAGCATTACAAAAGACGGTGTTCAACTTTTTCATTTAGTTCTGAATGGTTATCTGCTAAAATATTCCAGATACACTATGTCTCAAAATGCAATTCAAATAGCATGCGAAAAGAACAAGCGACAGATGTCAATGCACGTAAGGGAAGGGAAAATAATTGAAACGTTCGATTTCTCATTTGTTAACTTCTTTGTAATGGGAAAGAGGACTAACAAAATATCGTTATGCATTCAATACGTTATGTTGATTGATCGAAAGAAACTAACTTTTTAATGCTTCAATCGTTCAATTTCTATATCAACATGATGATAAAGATCGTATGCAAAAAATTATATTCGATCTCATACGCAAAGATGCATATGACTGATAAATAATTATATACTAAAACTGCTGATTTGTTTAATTGATCTCAGTATTAAAAAAATAATCTAACCGGATATTTCATTAGAATCAACAAAGTAAATTAATGCTACAGAGTGGAAACGATGAGAATTAAGGAAAGTTTTATTGTGTGTTGCTCTAAGAGAGAAAATGATCAGGTATTAAATAAACTCAATGACTAACGATAGAATCCCGTAGTTATGTTGCAATAGTGGATAATTTTTTCTCATTAAATGTTAAAAAAGAGAAAGAAAGAGTGAAAGAATAATCAGTAATCAATGAAATTCATGAAAACAGATATTCCGTTTTTTCTTCTTTTATAATTTTACGACAAGAAGAATTGATTTTTCCAGAAAAATTGTTTCTGATATCGAATATTCATTTTCTGATGCCATGATCGGAATAAATGAAATTGCTTTTGCTGAAATTTATGTAAAAACTAAATTTGAATAAAAAGAAGGGCGAGATTTCTTCTACTTGAAAATTCAAGTGGCACATCAATTTTTCGCAAAATGAAAAAAAACTTCGAAAGACTTTTTAATTTTTTTTTTATGGAAACATAAAATTGATCTTGATGCGCCTTTTTTATTTTTGTCGCTGAAATAAATCCTACACTATTCATTGCATTAAACTGATATTTGCATTCATTTAAACCAGAAAGAACATGACTCACCTTGATAGAATCGAGATAACAATTATTATTTCGGAAAAATAGAAAATTTATCAATAAAATGATCAAAGATAATAAAAGATGATATCATTATTTGATATAATGCCGCCCATAATCTTAGAAGACGAATTATTTTCGATTTCTAATGTTTTCAATAATGTTTTTAAAATCTTACTGGCTGATCTCAGTTGTGATTGATGATCAATAGCTAGAATGATAAAGAAATGAATGATTATATTTGAATATAAAGATTATTCTTCGTTCTATTTCTTATCTAGTCTTGAAGGATGACTATACACACACACTAGATACTTGTGACGACATTTTGTCTATTCTAAACACGATTATGAACGAAATCGGATTGTTCTGCCTTTATTTCCTTTTCGAACTAGCGGATATTAAAAAATAATTGTATAGCGAAGTTCTCGCATGAAAATTGCAATTGAAGTTTTAGTTATTCGTAATTTTTCAATTATATGATACATTTCTAAGATGGAACTCATCGTATATTATCTTTTTCCGTCCATAATCAAAAACTGGTTAACTTCTAGGAACTTATATCGAGTATGATGACCTCTGACTTCTTATTTTTAGAATTAATTATAAAACAATATCGAACAAATCTTTTTCATTGAGTTTTTAAAAAGATAAATCGATATCGTCTTATTCGATGTTTGAGTTTGATTTTGTTATTGGTTTTAAAAATAAAAATGAAATTCGGAATAACCTTGCATTTCGGTTGCAAATGCTAATCCATTTAGAGTTTCGACTTGGAAAATTTGCGCTTATGTCTATTGACTTCTCAAATCTTTCTGATAGTATTTTTTCGTATCTCGTCGAAGTTTGACGATATCTCGTTGTACCGAAAGACAAGAAATCAGCTGTTATGTATACAGCAAAAATAATTATCTTTCAAATCAAATGAATGATTGATGATGTTAGACTCCCAGTGAAAAATCTATCTATATTCTAAAACAATATTCTCAACCTCGTCTAATGAGACTAAATGCATATCTTTTGTTTGTCAAAGTTTCCAAACGGGTCGGATTTCACAGTGGATCGATTCCAAATACCCTTTTATATAATTGGGTGTGAGAGCAATTACCACGAATACTAAAGTATTTTCACTTTTATAGATAAAGATTATCAAGTGGCATATAACTAGTATAGAATGACTCACGAAGAATCAAATACATAGTATTTCTAGAAGAGAAATCTACTAAAAAGTAGAATGTTTCTTAATGGTAATTGGAATAGAAAAGTTGGTATTATTGAGGTAGTGTGGTTTTTTTGGGTTCATTTGTATCTGAAATAAAAATGAAAATGATCAGAGAAGTCTGGTGCTAGAAAATAGACTGATAAAACACGACTGGTAGTCGCAAAAATTTTGAAAGTTTCGTATGCGTCTTTAATTTATGATAAGTGAGTGGGATTTTAGAAAGTAGATTGATGTGGGGGAAATGCTGGTTAAAGTTACAAGGAATTTGTTTCAATCTACGTATATGCACTAGTCCGATAATCTCGCGCTTGGATTGGTGAAATCTTTGTAAATCCTTGCGAGAAGTATTCTTATTGTATGTTCGATTTTGAATTGAGCACGTTGAGCCATATTCATTTCACGATGTTTGATTGCATCGAAGACAAGTGTGACACTTGGCGGCTTAGTGAATTTATCTTGATTGTTTAAAAGTTTTTCTTTTTGGTCCCTGACTTTGTCAGCATATTTGGCAATACCTAGCTCAATTGCAGTTATTGTTGCTTCATTTTGTTTTCTAGGAAGTGTTGAATGGCACCCGCTAGAGAATGAGAAGATGCGTTCATTCAGGATTACATTGGTAAATATCTCATTGATCTTAGGTAATTGAAGATCTTTGATTGTATACATTGTGAACGAGGAAGATTGAGATGATGATTGCCAGTGTTTGAATAGCTCTGGTTCGTAGCGAAGTTGATATTCGTCGTAAGTAGCCTTCCAGATGAGATTTGTTGAATGTATCTAAAGAGTGATTTGAAGAAGAGATGTCAGCAAGATTAAAGTTCGATACAAACTTCTGTTTTTCTCGGTTTTAAGTTGTAAAATGCTTGGAATAATTGATGATCGTGTGCGTCAGATTTTAAAAGGGTTCTACTGCCTTCAAGTTCCATACGTAATTGACTTTGATCTTGATAAATGAGATGTCGAATGATTACCATGGTTTGATCGAGAAACTGATTGAGCGTACGCGGTATTTGTGCTATACACATATTAATCTCGTTATCGATCTTAAAAAGATCGGTTTGATATTTTTTCTGACGTTGTTGAATTGATAATTTTGAACGGCTATAAGTGCGAGGCAGCGAATTTAGAGCGGCCATATTTTTCGACACTCGACCAGTCCAAATACCTTCCGTCATTCCAAGTTGATAATAATGGTTACATTGCTCATTTTGAAGTTGTAAATAATGTCGAGTATTGATCAATTGAGTCAACTGACGGATAAATGACAGATTGTCCTCTACTCTTAACAATTTTTTAATTTTTTTTGCCCCTGACTGAGAAATTGTAGTTGATCCTATTGCTGCTAGCAAAAATGTCCTTTTAAAATTCTTGTCTGCAAGTATTGAATAATCAGGCAAGAAGATCGTTGGATCGATGTATTTTTCTTTGTGTAACGGAAAATATTGCTTCTTTATGGAAGGTAGTTTTGTCTCTTCGGTGAAATCCATAATATTGCTTCGACGAAATTGTTCAACTTTGTGGTCTAATATTGCTTTTCGCCGACGATATTTCTTTTTGAAGTGTTGTTGTTTTCGAATACATTGACCATACACTGATTTCTTCGCGATATATTCGACGTTAGATATGACAACTAGAATATATGGTTTTTGAGACAATCTGAAATACATCAAAAGAAAATAAACAAAATGTCTATACAGGGCTGAAGGATAGATGGAAATAGAGGCACTACATAAAACAAAAAAAGAACAGTGATTGATAAAAGAAAGAAACAAATAGTGCTTTCTGTTCTGTAAGTCAGACATGTATTGCGCTCATTAGATAGGAACTGACCGATTATGTTCGGATGCTAAATAGGCAAAAGGCAGTCGATCATGTATGATAATCGTGCGGATAACAACATATTCAGTCATCTTGTGGAGGGATCTTTCAATAACGATGCATGTGGACGTTTACGCCATAATTCAAAATCTAAATCAGGATTATTTTGATGACCAACAACTAATCGGATGTTGCTATGTTCTGTATTCTTAAACATATCATTGTGAATTTCATGGATAGATCGTTGTAGTCCTGATAATCTTGCTTCATGTACGCACTGAATAAAAGTCGTGTTTTGATATTTGTCATTCCATTTTTTCTTCACCATTGTTTCTGGAAATGATGTGGTTATTCATCGATCCGTTTGAACATCTGTAATAATATCAACTGTAGCAACGCTTTGTATTACTATTGCTTGTGATATAGATGGCTGAACTGATATTTTTTCGCGCATAGTTAAGAATTATTGTTCATTATTGAGCAATGGTATGATAGGTGAGGCATAAGACGGAAGATATTTCATAAAAAATCGTTGAAATTCTTCACTGATGTGTTTTGATGGATACCTACAAGAGAATCGTGAAGAGTTTTATTTAAGAAGAGAAAACGAGCCGTTACCTATTATATAATAACATCAATCGGATATTGCGTTGTTCTTGATTGAATATCGTGCAGCTCTCATAAGTGTAGTTTGTATACAGTTTCGAAAGATATGTCGAGGATGATCCGATAGAAAGCAAAGAATGGTCGGTTCCGCTGCTGGCTTATGATAGACTGATGATGTCAGAGTACCATTCTGATTTTGAAGAAAAATATCCAAAAATGGAAGACTTTTACTAATATGATATTCTAATTTAATATTCAGATGAAGTTTGTTAGCGGCATCTAATATTTTCGTGAGATTTTGCTTCGAACCATTCCAAGTAAAGAAAACATCGTCAATATATCTATGTAGAACGGAAGAATGAGAAGAGTAGATGTTTGAAAACGAACATTCAATTGAACTTACTGGCCATACAATTCACGAGAGGGTAAATTAGAAAGAATGGAACGTTTTCCCCAATACCACATGAATATATTTGCTAATGTTAACGTAAATGGAGAACCCATAGCTCCACCGACAATTTGTCGATAGAATTTATTATCATGTACAAACACATTTTTCTGAAGTACCATACGAGCCAGTTCGATAATAGTATCGATCGAAATCCCATTCAAACGAGTACATTCATGTGCACAGAGGAATTGTCCAAGGATCTTTAATGACTCTTCTTGTGGTAACATCGTATATAGATTGTTAATATCGAAACTAACCAAGAGTGTGGACGAATTAATCTGTCTAAAAACCTGGAAATTTTTGTTGTTGCTCCGTGCATTGTATTTATGATGTGTCGAAGTGGCGTTCCTTCCTAAACAAAATAGATGTGTCTGTGTATGGTTTTTCTTACAACAACGAACGAGTTTAAGATGATCATTACTTTGTGTGATTTGGGAAGATTATACATGTACGATAGTTCCGTTGTTGCTCGATTTGGTACCATATGTAGTCGTTGTGACTCGGATATTTTCCTGTCTATTTTCAGTTGATTCAGTTGATGAGTGATGTCGTAGATGGTTTGATTGAACGGATTTGTATTCAACTCTTCATATGCTTGTGTTGTTAGGCGATAATCAACTGCCTTTCGTTTATAATCCACAGCACAGCCAATATGAAAAACACCACTTTTGTCTGTTTTACGAAGAACAAGTTTGTACTTTTTTAATTTTCGTCGAATCGATTTAACAAGCTTCAGTTCTCGTCGTGCACGTAGTTGATCCGTTAATGATAATGGCTTCATGTAGCAATGTGTGAAATACGTACGAAGCCGGTCAGAATAGAATTTATATAATGGTGATGTAACTGGTATTTTTGGATAGTTTTCAATTTTGGCGAAGAATTGCTTCAAACGATCTATAATTTTGTTTAGACACTGTTGAATTTGTTTTTCTCGTTGATGAGCCGGACGAAGTGCACTTTGATTTGGTCTAATGTAAGTCGGACCTAGTAGAATATGGAAATAGAAACAAGAAGAATTGTCACTGAAAGGATAAGTTTTGATGAATGTTACAACCTCGAGAAAGATAATTGATTTCAGTAGTAGTAAATGGATGACGAATAAGATCAATGATAATCTTTGGAGCAACTGGTATGAACGGAGTCTTTTTCGATCTTAAATCTTTCTTATGACGACGACGGAGGCGACGCACTAATTTCCTTCGATAGATTGATATTTTTTCTGAATAGATCT